TGTGAGGCACGTGCTCGAGAAAACATAGTACACATATATATATATATATATATATATATATATATAAAATATATATACATATACATCGGTGAGCGGAAAGCGGAAAGGGAAAGCATGTAGGGGGCATTTACGGGGTCGGGGGATGGGCGGAGAGAAAGAGCCTAAGTAACAAGCCCATTCTGTTACGCCGTGCCTCTCGCGTTTACCCTCAAGGAGCCGAGGAGTAACTACGCAAGGCTTTCAAGCTGCTACTTCATTTACACCTTCTATCCCTCTTCGCTACCCAACTTTTCCTCAATATCGCCCCCTCCTCCGTCTCCCTCTCCTCCTCGATATACACGAGCGATATTGTGCGACTCTCTCATTAGCGGGACGTTAGATGCCCTAATTACTTAAGAGTTTTCCAGCCACGTTCCCTACCGAAAGATTCGTGGGCGCGGAAATTACTAATTTATTCTGGCTCTTCAACGTCGCGAGCGCGTGTCAAAGCGGCCGACGATGCGCGCGATGACAGCGGTGAGATTGGGAAAGACCGAAGGCGGAAAATAGACGACGACGGTCTGGTGTGTACCCAACGTGACTTTGGTTAAGCGCAGTTAATTGAGGCTCTGACAGGGTGTAAGCTACGAGTGGCGAAAATTTTTCAGCGCCGGGCGAGAGAAGATTAATTTGACGGTGGAAAAAGCCTTTCAAGCCAACGTGCCACTCGTTTCTCTCTATTCATCTCCACTGTTCGTTCAGCTACTTGCCAACATTTCTCACTTCACGACGAGATCCTTTCCCGGACGTTTTTCGGGCGCCGCGCGGAACAACACGATGGCGATGGCAGCCTCCCTATTTTAGCGTACTATAATCTGCTGTATTAGCATAGATAACATCGCAATTCTGGCGCGGTACAATCGCGCGCGCTAGCGTATAGATAAGCGCGCGATTATAGCGTAGCATAATCCCGGGCTCTAGCGTAGTAATATAATCCCGTGATTTTAACGTAATATGATTCTGTGCCGGTCTCGGCCGGTCGGCCGGCCTCGTATGTAATTCTACCGTATAATTGCTCGAGCGATGTTACTTTATGGCCCGATATACTTTATGATAATCTTTCTCAATCAGTATATAAAGAATCAACGTAAATCTGAGATATTCTGATACGTGAAAAATTGCCAGATGCAATTTTACGTACATTTTACATTTTCTGACATTTTCGCGCAATACGACATTTTTTCCAAATTTACCATCCCATTGAATCGTTAATTTCGTACCTATGTACGTATTGACAAACCAACGGTTAAGTTAATCGCATTTTAATAGCAAATTTAATTATGAATTTCTCGATAATTTTCGATTAAACGTGTCAATTAATGTAACATTAATGTATGCCAGTTTACCAGCCGATATGTCAATATGCAATCTTGTTACGATGTAATTGGATGCGAACATCGTCGAAATAACAATAAAACTCGTCGGCCGCGAAATTGAAATTTGAATAATTAGCATGGAATTAATATAGTCGTTCTGTGAGAGAGAGAGGGGGGGGGGGGGGGGAAAAGCCCACTTTTTTGGGTGCGTA